AAAAAAAAAAAAACTACTTTGTCAAGTTTGTGTTTTTTATGATTCTCTTATCAAGGGACTACTACGATCACAAACCCCCTTTAACTTGTCTGATAATACACAGTGATGGAGAGAAGAATGTAAATACATAAAACGCAGTGATGCTTATATCTTTTAAACCTCCACACACCGAATAAGCCATGCTTATTTTCGATGATATATCCCATCTGAAGTTGTGGCATCCAAGCCAAGACACTCCGATTCCAGTTCATAAAACACAAACACATCAAAAGCAACTGTATGTGCTCGTTTATATATAACACGACCCTATTCCGAAAATAAAGTTACTACTTACTTTATCATCAACACAACCCCATAACATTTTTCAATCCCCACTTATCCTGAGCTCATGCAACGAGTGGATGAGCCCGTTTTTGTTCTCAAGTCTATGGATCTCGGATTCTATAGATTGAGCGATTTTCACGTCCTCTGGGTCGGGTTCTGGAATATCCATATGGAGCGACCCGTGTTTGGTGGGCCCACTATTCGACTCGGCTTGCGATTTAATGTAGCTATAAAGCTGCTGATGGAAAACATGGTCGAGTGAGTAGCAATCATTAACCATAGTTCCATTTTTATAGAGTCGAGATGAACCCGAGCCTTCTCTTCTACAAAAGTGTGGCAGAGATTCATAATCCATAATCTGCACAGATTACGAGGCGAGCAATGACAAAGTCAAAGAAAACATTTACTAGTTTCTCCAAATAACGCACAATGTAAAAATAGTTTAACCATGACTTACCTTCAACAGTTCATCTTTGCCAGAGCCAGAAAGAACCTGAATCTTTTTCCTTGTTCTCTCTTGCAAAAGAGGTCTAACAACCTGTAACAGGAAAAAAAGGGATTAGCGTTCGTGTCGAGTAATTCGGATTTGTACATGGACAACTGAAGGAAACGCAACGTGTGACATGTTTAACCTTCCAACACGAGGAAAATATGTATGGTGCGTTGACTATGTAATAAGTTTCCGTTTTCTCGGGATAGTTCAGGTCATCAATAGTCGATATCGCAGACAATAACTGCACCAAAAGAAATATGATGCACAAATATGTCAAAACCAGAAATGAACAATTATCGAACTTGAAATGTGTCATTTGTCAAAGAAAAATAAAATCAAATGAACAAAAGCAGAACTAATTAAAAAGGTTTACGCAGAAATGAATTTTACTCGAATATTAAGTACTGGTGAAATTACAAGAACCACATTAGACAAGGAAAAGTAAAAATAATTTGTGGGGAAGAATAAATCAATTGACCAGATCAACTCTAATAAGACATGGAATACGAACAGACACCTTGATTTGAGTCAAAGCAGAAAGCTTTAGACCAGTCATGTCCAGAACTTTTATGCATGTGCCAATGTAACGCCCATACTTCTTTGTTGCAGAAGGCTATATGAGGAAATGCAGAGCGAGTTTAATAGGAAGACATAGATATTTTTACAATTTCACACAGAGATTCACTTGATCCAGATACTTACTAATATTACACGATCTCTATACTCATTCATTTGGATGTGTGATTGTACATAGTAGTTAATCTAAGAAAGAGACAATAAGCATTAGCAAGCAGTACATGAACCCAACTTCCCCGCTTTAAAAAAAAAAAAAGTATATTAACAATTATGACATCTTACAGATGCTTTGTCAAATGTGCTGAGCCCGACACCAACAGCAATGACAGGAAGACCCTATGAATTAACAACAGGTAAAGGAGAGTATCACAATTGGAAATGTCTTCTACTACACAACAGTGTTTAAATTACACAAATAACTATTTTTTCGATGAAGACATAAATCTAAAGGGAAATTCACGAGGTCACAATCTTTTGGAAGGAAGAAAAACCCATCAAATAGGTTTGATTTGTTAAAACATCACGTCCCAAATCTTCAAAGGAACAACAAAATTACCCTTCTAATCGATAAAAACATACAACAAAAGGGTACCTCTTTAGAGAATCCAGACATGCCTACAAGCTGGGACTCCCTAATTCCTCTATATACATCAGTGGGGATGATC